TTCATTCGAAACGATTGGCGACATATTTTTGGTTCAAGTTTGTCCATACAATTGTTTGTCCATTTATCCGGAAGATCCACGACAATGAACGGGAAATTAAGCTCCATTGAACATCGGAGGATCGTGAGCGAGCGATAATTTCTTTCTTCCACTCCCTGATTCGTAATAACTCGAATTCGGTAAATATATTCTGTTTGGGTTTACAGTATCTCCGCTTCACACTCGAAATGTGCATTATTCCATTTGAATGAGTGTATTGTTCCCGTGCCAGGATGCCTCCTTGCGATAGATTGCTCGTTGTACTCTAATGCACCGAAGTAGGTAATCGATTAGCGAACACTTCTCCGCAATTCGAGAATCGTCGAACGTCAGACTATTAATTAGACGTGTATGGCTGTATGCGAAATTTCAAAAGTTTCTGTTTCATTTTAATTGGGAACGCGAGAATTGGCCAATGAATTGTGAATGAAATCACACTCATCTTTGTAATATATCATTTGAATAAGATATCTGTTTTTAATGAAACTATATATATTTTTCATAACATTCCATGTTACCACCATGAAATTATTCGAGTGAAATACACTTTGTTAGATTAATCATAATAGTTCATAATAGTTTCTCTTCCCCTTTCTTTCTCTCCCTCGTATATTTATTCGATTATGACAAAAATAGGAAGAAAAAAAGAGGAGATGGAGAAAATTAAATTAAATGAAAAGTTAATTAATAGCAACTAACAAGCGAGTTAACCTTCATTTTTATCTAGGTAACGTAAATATTTTAATAAGATACTCATATGGTTAAACGCTGGTGGCGGGATATTTCAACTATCCCAAGTTTAATATACATAGCATTATCTACATTCTCCGTTTAATTACATTCTCTTAATAGTTTGTAACAGCTTCGAGTAAGTTGACACCAAGAGTTTGGATGATATTAAGAAATCATTTCATTACTTTGAAACATTAAAATCGGTCAGGAATTGTTCCGGTTACTGATGATTAATTTTTTGTTATTTTTTTTTTATTAAGTAAAAAATATACCAAACAATGTTTGAGACGAATTTTCGAAGGGGAAACGGTATTCGTAAAAATATACATGTGAACAAAGTATTTATGGTATGAACAAAAGAAAAGAAAGCGAGGAAAAGTTATGCACCACGGAGTTCTGTAGTTATAAAACTACACTTAATGAGTGGAAACTTGGGTGGACACTGTATTTAATTGAAGTAATGAAAGTTTACCAACTAGGGAAAAAATGCTTGTTAAGTATTGTATGTATTTTTCATACTTTCCAATTAACTAATCGCGTTCCTAAATATCAAGACTCGTGAATTATACATAATTCTTAATGCAGCGTTGTATTCAATTGTAAGATTTGAAGCAATTTGAAAAAACATGAAATATTTTTTAACTTTTAATCAACTTTTATTCGTACCATAGAAAAAATTATGAGAATATAAACATTATATGTGTGAGATTAAATAACTAAATTGATAGAAAACATACAATATTTCGTTCGCAACACTAGACTTTCTTTATTTAAATAATAATAAATTTTAATTTTCTACGCGATTTTTACTACGAGGTATAAATATTTTTCACTCTTCACGTCCCAGGTTCATCTTCTTTCTACGGGGAATAGGACAAGTATGAGACAGGCTTGAAAAATTACCACAGCACTGTCTACTACAAAAGTTTCATTAAGAAACACTTCGTAATTTATTTTCACACCTGCATCTTGTTCTCTCCTTTTCTCCAAACTCTGGTAGACAAAATCAAACAAGCGTAATACAAAGAATACACACATAAAAAAAAAAGAGATAAATAATCAAAACATTTAAAATAAAAATAAAAAATAAGAAAAATGTTTGATATTTCAAGGTTTATGGAAAAAAAATTTCACATAAAAAAATGTCCATCGTATCTATTCTTTCATATATATGTATATATTTTCATAATGCAAACGTAAATATATCCTACAAAGATTTTATTTTATTTAACTGTCTCTTTCCGATTAAGCAGCGATGACTATCGACAGATTTTAAAAACAAATCGAATATTAAATATTTAACGAATATGGTATATGCCTGGACACGTAGTCGTATGCATCAAAATGACTATTTTTCTCTTGTTGACAAAAAAATATCGCGACGATATTTGGCCTGATTCCATCCCTGGCTTAACAAAAAAATATTATAAAAACTATGAAAAGTGAAAAGAACTCCTTAAAAAATAATTCTTCTTTTTTTTTTTAATTTTAAACTAGAACTTTTTATATTCTTAAACAATAAAAAATCCAATCCAAAAATCTCTGAAATCTCGTTCCAATCGCTAGATTCTGTAATAGTTTTATTTCAAGAACAGTCCGTTTCATTTCAGAGCAAATCAGTTCAAGAGTTGATGACCGATACATAACGCCGACATTTTGCATTCGGACAGAAGCAAATGAATGTAAACGTTATGCATCGGCCATCAACCCGAGAATGGATAAATAAACGAAACCATTTCAGCATTTAACAATTAAATTCAGGATATTACGTACCAGAATTGGATTTTTCCCCCTTTCTTTCACACTGATAATACTAATCCTTTACCGATGAATCGGAATAAAAAATGAAATAAAAATTAAAAATTCATCTCGCATCTCGAATACGTATAGTGTACACGCATTAAAAAAAAAAAAGAAAAGAGAATGTATACGATAAAAATTCACGATATTCCACAAATCAGCAAAATTATCGCGTTTATGGTGACTCTGCATTTCGCATTCGTGTAACGTAATTTTCATGTAACGCCGAACAGTTTAATCATAATAATTCTAGTTTGCCCGTATATCGCGCATACGGTGTGCAATTTTCCAGAGAAAAACGTTTCGTGAACAATATTTCGCACGACTCGGATAACAAAACGTTATCTCGTGTCTCTTGGAGACGCGCGAAATCATAGCTGATTCGTTTTAATTCGTCGGCGTGCGCGAAATGGTGGAAAGGCATTAAAAATTATTCTAACGCGAGGCGTTACGGGGCAAAAAGATATTTCGATGGGACCGAGGTCGAGGGAACGACGAAATGCACGAGCAAGGGGGAGCGCAGTGAATGAAACGTAATTTATTCAATTGCTTCTAATAAATGTCGTACACCCGAACCACGGTAGGTACGAGTGACTAAAAAATTCGTCCGCCATTGCCACGCCTTCTGCATTCGGAACAATGCGGAGAAATTCCACTGAATTCAAAATATCGATCAATCGTAATTTCGATGCTCAACGAACATTAATAACACGCATTAACATACAGCGAGAAAGGCGTTATAAATCGAAACGAACGAAACCAACTCTTTCCTATTTCCCGTGCTGATTATTCGTTCGACAATGGCCATTGTCTTTGGCGCGTTTATTTACGCCCGCCAATTTTGCCGATTAACTTTTCGCGGGGCCGAAGAACGATCGATACAAAGCTTTCGCCGTACGATTTAAATGGCAATAAATACAATTATCCAATTGCAAAAATAACGTTATGCAAAAAAATCGACGATATCGAACGAATGGACACGTACTATTGATTTACGGTGTGTGTATGAGAATGCATGGAGGGGCGTTCTTTCCGTTAAAAGTATCTCAATATTTTAGGAAATAATAGATTTTTGTTTGTGGATTGCGTTAATTAAATTTAAAAGAGCGTGTATTAGGCCGAGCAAAGATTAATTGAATGCAAAGAATCGATTATATCGTATAAATTAAAAGGGATCAGAGTTATACAACTCGAATCGATCGATAAATTTTAAAATTAACAATGGAACCATCCGATTTAAATTACATTTTATCGAAAATGTTTGTACCTATATAATAGAAAAATATGATCAACCGTGAATTCATCCAATCACACGTAGAATTCGACTCGCTTTCGGGATAACGCGCCACGTGCTCGCCAAATGCGTACACATATACACGTATTCACAGTTGGAAAGAGATTGTTTACCGTAGGCCGAGTACCGTCGTGTGAATGCCATATTTGCCGAGAGGGCTTGAGAATTTCTTCGGCGAAGTAAGGTAAGAGCGATATAAACAAACTAAACTAAACAGAGATTCAATGGCTAGAAGCTATACTAGTAGCTAAATGCTTCGCTTATAGTAAATATTAAATAAATATTGAATATATATTAGAATTATAGATTAATTCCAGCGATTTTTGAGATTAGAATACAATTTTATTTGTGAACAATAGCAAATTAATTATGAGATTTAGTTATTATTCCTAATTTTAGCCTATTCACATTATGAGAAATATATGGCGGTTTATTTCGATGATTTTATCCAATTCTTTTCTTCATATTCCTTTTATATTAACTTGTACGTTATGTAAGGTCTGGAAAATACGAACGAGGACTTACAATCTAGTTTAAAAATTGCTTCCTTTGTTACCTTTACAACATGATTTTGTCACGAGGCAAGACCACTTTTCGTTCTTTTATCTGTGCACGATGTCCTTAAGCGATTTTAACTGATCGTTAAAAGTAACCAATTTCTGTAATACTTTATGAAATTATATAAAAATATTTCTTTATAGCTATTATAAATTGTACAAATATTTAAATTTAATATAATTATTAGAAACGAATAAATTTAAAGATTTAAATTTAAGATATCTTCGTGAAATCTACGAGATATTACACAAAAATTTTATGTAAATATCAACCATGAATGGTAATTTGCAAAAGTGGATTTTTGCTATTATAACATGATCCTACAAAATGCGCAACATCGTTTCAAAATCGGTGTTCTCGTTATGTTTACGAAAATCGAGATTGTTATTTCCGGATGGCATTTTCTGCATCGATGAATCAAGTAAGATTTGATTTAACATGTGCACGATCCATACAACGAATGTATACTCCAGTTTCTAAGGAATCGGAGCACAGAGAGACCGGCCAAAGACGCGTGACGCTATAGGTCAGGTATCGGCCGCCAGGAGCGCAGCAATCGCGTACGCTAGCCTCAAGACTTTCTCGACACTCAGTCTGCCGGAGTCTGCAGCGCGCGAAAGTTGTATGTGCGACGCGTAGCGTGTGTCACACCGGTCCGTACAGGATATTTCGTCGGCGTGTCAGTGCTGCAGTCGACAGTTTTTCCTTTTTTCTGTGCAACGTAATGTGACAATCGGAACGCACGCGTTAGTTCGTGATCAATATCGATTCTCGCGAGATTTAACGTGGATAAATAAATCGCAAGTGTCGATGTTTTCGGTTTTTGTACTCGTCGAACGCGTTACCACGTGATTTTTCTCTGTCAAGTTTGAACACGGAAAGAACCGTGTTACTCGTGCGGTATCATCGGAGTGAGTGTTTGATAATAATTTTCGGAGTGTGATCGTGATTCTTCGAAATATACACGATGCACGCGTTGCGGTGAGAACGGAGGGAAAAAAGAATTTGAGCGGGAGTGCCTCGTAACCATTTTGTAAAGTTTCGTGCATCAGCCGCTGTCTGTGTGTGTCGCAGCTGCAGCGTCCCTCGCGACCAGTCAAGAGAGACAAGGAAGAAAAAGGAGCAAGGTTGCTGGTGGCGGTTACGATTGACGGATAGTGGCGATCGAGCGGGGAGAACGGCGACCACCTTGTATGGCAGTAAGTGTTGATATTTTTGTTCTGCTCTCGTCTCGAGGCTCGATTCATTCTTTTTCTACGCGGTTCTCATTTATGCGAGCGTCCGGCTATGACCTTCTTGGGACGCACGCGAATAAGAGTAGTCGATCTTTTACCTTACTAACCCCCTCTCCGTGGCACACGAGGCAGACGGGACATTCGAACACGCTCTTTTCTTCGAGTAACGTGGACTTACTCGGAATGGAATCTTGCCTCGGGAACACGAACCACCTCTGTACGAGGAACTTGAACGTTGATCTCTCTTTACTCGGGACCTCTTGTTATTTGAACTTTGGTGACCAACGATTGTCGTACCCTATCGCACATTGATTCAATGTTTTTTCCCCTCTCGTTCTCTACGGTGCACAATTTAAAATCTGTGCATCGTGAAGATTCAATGATTCTTTATTAAACGAACCTTTGTCGAAAGTTTGGAGCGTTGATCTGTAGTTGGCAGGTATTTGAGAGCAAAAAGATCGACCAACCAGAAAACAGAGCCGATCCTAGGCGGTCGTTCCCTAACCACTACGAAATAGCCCGATTGTATAGGGTCCTTTCAAACTTATACGCTCTCGAACATCGTCTTTCAAAGGTGCTCGACACGGTCCACAGGTTGTGTTCAGATAAATCATAGCTTTCTTTCTTCACATTTTTTTCAAGTTGTTTTTTCGTTTTCAAAAGTTAGAAATATTCAATGTTTAAAAACGTTTATTTCTGAATATTGTAGGTGAATATTATCAGTAGTATACTAATACGCGTATTTTGCACCTTATAAAATTTTATGAGTATAGATAATTGCCATAGTTGGAATATGAAATTTTTATTCGTTTTTCTTATATAAGTTAACATAGTAAAAGTTAAAGTAATTATTTTACGAGTAAAATTTATATTTTGTGCAATGTGCTAAATATTATGCTTACAATCATGATCGTAAAAAATTGCACATCGCTTATAGTAAACGTTTATGTTCAATTCAATTTAGAGTACTCAAAGAATTAATGATATTTCTTAATGCTAAAGTTTTACAAGTTATTCATGTTACTACTTGATATATTTTATTGATTTAAAATTCAAATTTCTAAATTAAATTTATTAAAAAAATTATTTAAAAATATTATTTAAAAATAATATTTATTGTATAAATAGATAATTAGATCTTTTTTCTCTTATTTGAAGAATTTAAAAAAAAAAATGAAAAATTAAAATGTTATCTATTCGAATTTTGTGTATTTGTTTTTTCTTCTCGCGATGCAATTTTTAAAATTTATGAAGAATTTAAATATCTGAGTTTAATTATCGATATATTTTTTTTATAGTTTTTAAAATTCTTTCTAATTTTCTATAAAATTATTACGTGTAGCTTCCTTAATGAAATTAATGATTTTTTCAAAGAAATACCGGAAACGTTTCATTGATTAAATTTCACTCACTACTTTGGAGATAATGCATCCTTTCTATTTAAGTGCATTTAAACTTGTAGTTTGAAAAAAGCTTTCGCTTTGAGCATTATGCATTTTTAACAGTCTTTTCCCTTTAATAACGTTATATCGCTACATTCTAGTTTTTAACTTATTCGCATTTTCAAAAATACGTAAAAGAGAATATTTGAAGAAATATTTCATATATATTTGTATCGCTAATAAAAATCACTTTTGTTCACATTTTTGTCTTTGCGCAAGTTCAATTTTAAAATTTCAATTTATAAAAATTAAATATTGCCATAATATTAAATTTTATTTCAAATAATTTCTTTGATTGAAAATATTGAAATAGAATATATTTGAAAAAATTTCCAAAGAATTTTGGAGTATAAGAATTAATTATGTTTATTCTCTTGTTTTATATATATATATAAAATATATATATAAAACAATTTAATAACAATATACAATATCATATTTTTATTAAATTTTTTAAAAAATCAATGATTTGATTGAACGGAGTACCGCAATACATCCATTTAAAATGCAACAATCGGATTTAAATGCAGAAACATTGCTACCTTTCTAATTTCTTTTCTCAACACGTTCACTGCATTCATCTTGGATACAAGTTAGCACGTATTCTCGCGATATCCACGTAATGACTCAAATGTAGGTCACGAATTAAAAATCTCAAGGAACAATTACAAACTCGTTATAAATATATAAATACCTATTTCATAATCATATATAACAAAATTCACGTATACAACAAATATATTTTACGCGAAAATCGGAGATTCGATTAAATATAAACTCTCTCAAACGAAGATTCATCAATCTCTTCTCATCCCTTTCCAAAAAGAAGGAGCACGAATCACAAGCAACGACTCGACCGCAACATTCCTCGCATTCCCTCTGTACCCAAAACTCTGCTAACCATCTGCGCGTATACTACTATATCCTCGAAATTCGCACGTTTCGAAATCGAAGACGCGTGACACGAATAGCACACACCTGTGTATACATATGTACAATATATTGGACAAAAATTTTTCGCGTCGACAATATTTTCGACGACTGTCTGTCGCGACATCACGTGGATCCGCATAAGATAGAAAGAAAATCCCGCTTATCCGGCAAAAGCTATACGCCCTACTGAGGAACACGGCCTGGTAAATGATGACATCGAGAAAGACCCCTCCAGGTGACGCGATACTACGCGCTTGTGCACGCGTGGAAGAGCATTTTGGACGATGTTGACTCGACGCTCGCAACGTGGAACGCGAGCGAATAGACGCGAGTAGATGGGAAGATAAAAGGAGAAAGAGATGAAGTGGAAGAAAAAATGAGAGGAGTAAATAAAAGGAAAAATAGATCGAAAAGGCAGGATGCGTAGCAGCGGGTTATCCGGGCTCGCCGGCCACGCACGTAAATCTGGCGGAGAGTCGTTAGTCATGCTTTATTTCGCTTTAGTTTTCCGTACACGCTGAAATAGCATCAACTTTCCAGGAAGGGGCTGACTCACGCGCTTTTGAAATCCATTCAGAAAGTGACGAATGCCCATGCATGCCACGCACTACCGCCGGCTGGCCGAGCGCCACATGTGTGCCGGCTAATGGCTCGTCTTTCGTTTTATTGCCGCATATGCTGACAATGAAACGTCCCGTGGATTTCGTTCTCGTCTCGCCTTATCTGTAGGATAACAGGAATTGAATACAGGATCGAAGAAGTGCATCCGTTTCGTCTCGGGCACTGGATTACTTAGGTTATGAGATAGGACAGAATTCTGTTTGAGAATTCTCTTCTCTATGCTTGATACATTGAGCATCAGTAATGAGAATTCTATACTCGTGCGTCGAATTGACGGGTTTTAAAGGGAATTAACATTGGCTGTTATTCGAATGGAAAAAATAGATGTTTGAATGTATTAAAGTTATTAAAGTTAAAATGACCAAGTCAGAAGGAAAAAGATTTTATATGATGTTATTTCAATTTTATTCATCTGTTCATGATAAATCGATAGTTTCAGAATCCATTTTAAAGTATAAATTAATAACTTTTACCTTCACAAATTGTGTTACATACATATATATATACATTATGTTGTATATTTATTGTGTTCCAGTTGTTCATATGAATAATTTAGTCATTCTGGAAATGAAGAACTTGATTCATTTATTTTATAACAACACAGGTGTTTAATTAATAATTATTTTTTCGATACAAGTTTTTTTTTTGAAACAGAAGATGAAGATTATTTATATATTTTATGAAAATTATTGCTTACCAACATAATCCATGAATATTTTAACGAAAGGGGGAAAAAGAAAGAGGAGATAGATAAACAAAAATTATTGTTCAAAGTTTTCAAAGCAGTTGAAATACTTTGCTATTAATCAATGTAACTTTTAGCTGACCTAATTTGTCAGTGGAGTTTCTCTTGCACATACATTTCAGATTGTTTACTCTTAATTAAAAGTCTATGTATATGTTATCTTTCATGAAAGAATTTTATAGCATAATCTAATTGTTCGTGGAGAAACAAAATGCTAATTACAAGTACTTTATTTTCGAAATATTACTAATATTTAATATTATTAATATTTAATCTAGCGAATGTAAATTATTATTCGCTTTCGAAAACTCATTATTTGTATTAAAGTATTTAAAACGTTCCACGATTTTTCTTCTTTTTTTTTTTTTGTCTGTATATTCATTTAGTTACATGGAATAAAAGTTGAAAAGATATTGCTTGTGTATTTTCAATTTCGTATAAAATAATATACGAATAATGTTTTCACATATATAAAGTAACAAATTGATACACAGCTGTCCAAATATTATTAATATTCGTAATTGCAGTTTTGTTAAATGATTTTAAAAAATGGATACAACTCTTATATAATGTACTCGCATCGTTTACGTGTTTTATACACTACTGATTGCGTTCTATGTACAATGCTATACGAGTTTCGAGCCACATATATCGTTGTTCGAAAATTAGTTTGGCTTTAGAACACGCGTATGAGAGCGTTTTGTTTCTATAAAATTGAATAAAAAAGTCATTTTCACGATTGTATCGTAGCCCCGCAATTTGTTACGATTTACTGCACTTTTAAATCATGTTGCTGGCAATATACAAATGAATTGTTAAAAAAAAGGAAAAAAAAATAACAAAGAATCATAATGTTTCAATATTCATTAAATATTTTGTAAAATTGCGAAAGAAATTCTTGAGATATAATTAAACTTTGGAGAAATTAAATAAGTGGTACACGAGTAAAAGGTAATGATGAAATTGTTTAATTAAGATTTAAAATAATTTCCTGAGTAATCTCGTAAAATGATAACATACAATGGAACGATGAAGTCCTAAATATCGAGAGAGAGCGAGAGAGAAATACTTGTGCCATATTGTGTTCGGTTAAGGACGATGATATTGAGCAGGATGGAAATATAAAACTGCTAATAATTACGTAAGAAATCGTGCGGTATAGGTAATATTCTCGTGCACTTGGAGGCACTTATGCTTATTAAGTCCATAGTCTCCCTGTGCATCATGTGAT